TGCTCAATCTTTTCTCTTGTTATCTCCTTCTATCTCTGCCTACTTCTTCCATCACCTCCTCTTTCTCCTGTTTTACTTGGAGTACATTAATAAAATGTGTCCATGTCCCCTCTCTCACTTGTCTATTTTTCTCTTTTCCTCTGCTTGTCACCTTCCCAAAGTCCTCTGTTTTTATTTTCCCAATTTGTTTGTCGTATACTTTCTGTTTCTCCAACTTTGTTTACATTTTCCTTTGTACCTTTTTTTCTCTCAACTCCTTCTCCTCTATTTCCTCTTCTTTCTCTATAATTTTTCTATATCTGTTTCTCTCTTCTGTACAGGTTGGTTCAAATTCCTGGCTCACCATTGGGATCTTCGTAACGGTGAAAGATACAGTGTAGACTAAATTGAGGCAAAGTTTCTCCTAAGTATTTGTGACTAAAGAAATTTTCCAAAAATCTTTGAAAATGTCACCGAAAAGCTGAAAATGTCAAATTTCCTCTGGCGCAAACGGTCTGAAATGGTCGGTGCCCGTTAGCACCTTCTATGAGCACTTTTTTCCGGAGAATCTAAATCTTTTATCAGAATTTCCACAATACGCTAGAGGTAGAATCTGCAGACTACTACTTTATTTTTTCTTATGTACGCCATATTGAATTTTTACAGAATGAGATAAGACCAAAAATATCACACTCTACTACCGAGTGCAATGGCGTGCGGTCCACACCTGTCCAACTAACTTAAACACATCAAAATTGAAAAATGAGACTCTATCCGGGTCGCACAATGGGTTCGAACAAACACGCAATTAATTGATTTGACAATCACAAACATTTATTCCGAAACACATTACATGAAAAAAATTAAAACAACATTTTTGGAAGGACAACCTTACAAAGCTTGTTTAAGTAGAGTACCCCGCACGCAGTCGTTCGAATATAAAAAATATAAAAAAACCTTAAAATTACTTACGGTTTTTTTCTATTTCAAATAATCCAAACAATCTAGTCGTAAATGATTTGCGTTATTCAGGCGCACTTACCAAAAACACTCGCTGATAGCCTTAGGAAACTACATTTTATCTTTAAAAGAGAACTGGGCCCAATAACTCGAACTAGCTTGATAAACAAGATGAAAATGATTTTCGCCGACGAAATTTAAATCTTTTATCAAGACTTCTTCTAGGCACTTTATTACGAAACTGACGAACTGCGTCTTCAATAAAAAAAAATCCAAAGGGTAAAACGCCCGCAACTTTTTTTACCGTCGCGAACTAACAACAGCAGCCCCGTTTTTACCTTGTGTCACGTATTTAAGGGAACATTACTTCCATCATAGAATAATCTGCTTCCTCCGGTATTTACAGGTAATGCACTAATTACCATTAGATTAGGTACATAACGCCGACTGCGAAGGAACTCGTCCCCACTTACGCCGAAAATAATGCCCACATCGTTGCTTCATCTCTTGTTACCAGCACCAGAATACGTGCGTTAATTAAATTACATCAGATAATACTCCTTATCACAAACACTTAAATAACCTTTTATAAAAATACGCAAAATTTGACCAGATGTCTTATCTAAATCGAACAAAAATTTTGCAATTACAAACAAAACCAAAAGCAAAAATTACACTGAAGCACAAATTCAAGTGAAATAAAGTAATTCTGTGCTTATTCGTAAATCCCCCCCTCCCCCTCGATTTACTTCACTAAAATTGAAAAGTTTCACATATACCGGGTGTCCTGTTATTATTTTTGATGTTTAAACGTCTACACGGTGTTATTTACGCAATACTTTTACATAAATAAATAAAAACGAAATTTGTTTTGACGGAGATCCCAATGGTGAGCCACTAATTTGAACCACCCTGTACACTCTCTGTCCCATCGCTCCTTTCTTTTCACTCTTTCCTCTCTTTCAGGTATTTGTTTCCACGCAATTGCTTTTTTGATACTCTCCACTCCCCTAATATTTCTTCTTCTTGTTCCTCTAGTCTCCTTCTATACACATCCACAGTGTCTCTTGTCCATAACAGTCTCTCCCTTCTTTCTTGCCGCTTCTCATCGTCCTATTGAATTAAAAATGCCAATTAATAATCAATTGAATGTATGTGAATTGTCCGGCCCTATCTCCCTTCATATTTTTGCTTAAAATTCTCCTTCTCCCGTTTCTGATCATTCCAATGACACTTCCATCTTTATCTCTTTATTTTCTTTCGGGTGTTCGTTTTCATGTACCTATTCTCTTTTCTTTTATTCCTTATTCTAATAACCCCCCCCCCCCCGTATTATTTCTATTTTATTTTTTAAATCTTTCATTTCTTTTCTGTTTTTGATAGTTATCACTCTCATTTTCTTCCCCTCCCCTTCCACTTTTCCTTTCCTATATTCCTTCCTCCTCTTTCATTTCCTCCCCCCCCCATTCCCTTATCCATTTTTTGGTGCACTTTTTTAAGAATAAAAAAATGTGCTATTGTTTACGTTTTGTCCGTCCGGACTCACTTCTGCGTTCTACCCTTCATAGTATTTGAACTGTTTTCTATTAAGTACCTCTCTTCTTTCTTACCCCTTATAAAAACAGTTCCCCTCCTCGGCCCCTTATCGTGATTGGTTAAAATTCCCCATATCTCAAGAGCGAATTGTTGGAGGAGGGTACTCACAAAAGAGCGATTGGAAAGTATGGAAGAAATATATCCATACCATTGGTGATGTCCAAACTTGGCGAATATCTCGAAAACGATGTACCGGAGAAGAGTATACTCGCAAAGACAAAATGAATTCTCTGGACGAGACATGTGTATTGAATCTCTTGAAAACGAAGTGTCAGAAGAAGGCACTCATCAAAGGGCAAGTAGAACGTCTGAACGAGACGCATCTACTATTGATGTCAAAACTTTTAGTGCAAATATCTGTGTCTACCAATCATCGACAAATATAGCTACGTATTTCGCACAGGAGTTGTGCACAATTTATACTTGTTAACCGCATATCTCCTTTCTCTTCCCTGCTTTTTATTATCCCTCTTCCTAAACTGGTTCTTCTATACAGGGTATAGTACCTGCCACCGTTTGGGAGCGTATAGGGGGTGCCTAGGGGAGTATTTTGATATAGGACACTTGGGGTCGGAAATCTAAAATAAGGGCGCCAGAACCAAATTTATCTTCTGGAATTTCACGCCTGTATGTAGGCAACCCAACCGACCGACGTTTCGCGCGGAGCGATGCAGAGCGAGTTAGCGCGAGGAAGCGACATGGGAGGGAAGGAGGGAAAACGACAGTCAAAAGCAATAACGTTTACAAGTGTTCAACGTGGCCACCGTTGTTCTCAATGCACTTCCTACATCTAGCCAACTATTATTATACTATTGCCATAGTGTTTATTCACTTGATACGCGTCGTTGCAGACGGGATTTCGTGGGTTTAAACAAAATTCTGATCAAGTGTCAGCCACACATCGCCGCCTGAGATCGCTCCGTGTGCACCGCCGGCCGGTTGGGTTGCCTACCTACAGGCGCGAAATTCCAGAAGGTAAATTTGGCTCTGGCACCCTTATTTTAGATTTCCGACCCCAAGTGTCCTACATCAAAATACTCCCCTACGCACCACCTACACGCTCCCAAACGGTGGCAGGTACTATAGGAATCACCCTGTATGTATTCACTAAGAATCATTGCGTGTTTTCAGTGTGCATACAACCTATTTTTTGTTGTTCATTTAATTACTTTTTTCTTTCTCTTAAAACTTCACAAAAATCCGTCCACAGATAAGAAAGTTGAGTCTTTTTTTAACATCTCAACAATGGCGAAAGTAACGACCGCGACAGCGTCAACTATCTTTCTTTCCATCAGCGCATTTAACCGTTTCCTAAATCAAATTGGAGATTAAATCAAGATTTTAGGCCTTCTTTGTGTCAAGATCATACCTACTACATGTTCAATATTAGGACCTGGTTCTGTGATATTCCGGTCAACGTGTGAAACATTTTGTCAATAAAAAATGCGCGAAAATTTCGAAGATATCCCAGAAAAATCGAAATTTGGCGATTCCGTTTTTATTTTTTCTGATGTTATTTGAATAGATACGAAAAAAGAAAAAAAGCACTTTGTCATTGCTACTATTTGAGCTCTGCAAGACAGCGTTGAAAGATTTTCAATACAACGTTTCCTTTCGAAGAAATCACTATCATTTTTTTATATGGCCCGTAAAAAAAGTAAGTGTGCACGACACTCCAAAAACAGAAAAGTTGGAAACTGTTGGTTTCAACAGGATGGTGCACTCGCGCATAACGCTCTAATCATTCGAGAAGACCAATCGGACAAATTTTCTGGAAAATGGAAATTTCTTTCACATTTCAAAAATGTCTTCTGATGCATTTCTAAAGATGTCCGAAACATTTTAAGTTTCAAATTGTAATATTTCCGTTTCCAAAACGTTTTTCCAGTTCCTAAATTTCCTAGACATTTCTCACGCCTTCCAAACGTTTCAAAAATTTCCGAAACTTTCACTTCTTCTCAAAATTTCATTCATATTTTCAAAAATTTCAAAACGTTTACAACAATTCTACCAAAATCCCTTCCTAAATATTTTGAAAATTCCCCGATTCAAATATTTCCATCTCGATTTCCATAATCATTGCGAGTTTTTTTTTCAAAATTTCGTAATTTACAGAATTGCCGTTACCTAACTAAAGAATTACATGCCGTGTAACTAAACGGTAGCACGTTTGGGATCAACACTTCATTTCTATTATCTTGTGTCGACCATGTAAACAAAAATGTCAAAAAATTCTGCGTACTCGCAACCTTCGTTGTGTTGTGACGTAATTAGTGTGATTGACCATAGTAAGAGCATGATTATTTGTTGATAAATAGGCGTAAGTTACACGTCAAATGACTTGAAAACGCAACGCAATATATTTTCATGAAAAACGCCGGTCCTCTCTATTCATCACAAATCTCTCGCGTTCCAATTTTTTCATTCAGCAAAAGAATTGATTGCTAATTGTTGGAATCATCCACTTCGAAAAGATTCAATTTGGCCCGTTACGCTCATTTCCTTAATACGCCATTAAATTACGCGGTCCATTACGTCTTCACCTTGGGGAAAATTTTCATGTAGATGACTCGATTTTTCATATTATATTTTTTAATAAAAATGATTGTCACGACAAGGTCGTTCTCATTCCAACCCATTAATTATCTGCTTTTTTTTTCTTGCAGTGTTCGGAGTGTTATGCACAAATATTTGGAGAAGAAAAATGAAGTGAACTTCGATAAGATCTTCCACCAACAGTTAGGTAAGTGGCCGATTTTTTTCAAAATTAATCGCCTCGCTCCCGTTTTCGTTGTCCATCTTGCCGAATTGATTTATACGGTTCAATTTGCAAAGCGAAGGATCACGGATGTAAGAGTTCAGAGTTCTACTGAAAGGGGGTTGATTTATGTGGAAAAATTTTTGCAGTCGGTCGATTTTTCGGATGTAAATAGTTTCGTTTTACGATCGTCCCAATTTCGTTCGGGCTGCAATTTTGGTTCGGAAAGATAAATGGCGCGCATCGTATATCGCACGTGTTAATTAAAATTGGGGAGAGAGGTGAAGCGAATGTAGAAAACAACTTCCAATACGAAATTCAATCAGGAAGGCACAAAGGAACAAATCAAACAGAAACAATTCGGTGTGCCGTTTGGAGTATAGTATCATCCTTTCCTCGGGATGCGACGCGACGTCAAAGAAACCGAATTGAATTTCTGTCTTTACAGATAGATAAATAATGCATGTTCGCGTCTCCTGTATTAATTGAAAACTCTTCTTAGCTTGTGTAAGAAAGCTAACCGTATACGAACTTCTAATTCATATTTCCAGCAATAAATTAGCTAACGCAATGTAACGATATACAGGGTGTAGCTTTTATGCATTGGCGCAACACATCAACATAAGTCTAATATTTAAAAAACTCCCAGAAAAACAGTGATTCAATTCTGTTACGTGTTAACGGTATTGCGAGGTTATTCGTGAAAGCAAAATACAAACATAGGAAGTGGCAAAATAGTAACGGATCGAGCAGATCGCAAGCGAATCCATAAATAAAATGCAAATATAAGTAACAGTAACCTTAAAACAAATGCAGGTAGAAAAAAACGAACTGCTGTAAAATATTACATGAAATAATCAATATCGGCGTTAATAGTTGTACCGTGTATCCTATTTTAGTTGAGACTGCATTTTTTGGACCACTGTTCCTGAGATTGGGCCCAAAGATGGTATTTTTTAAATGCAACATGCTGTATATATTAACGTCAATTTTTTTGAATTCGTTTTCCTGATTACATTGATGTATCACAACCTCGATCACAACCTATATTTTTTTTTATTTTAGCCATGAACCAAAAATAAAACCTTATTTTTTACGGTTTTTAAATAGTAGGCCAAGGATTTATGGAGATTTTGTTTTGTTTATTATATCCATGGCAGTCGGTACCAATCAATAAAAATGACTAACGGTAGGAACATGTCAACAATTTTGAAAAATATATAAGTAATATACGAGGACTTTAAGATATACAGGGTGTTGCGTTTAAAAAATACCAACTTTGGATTAAATCCCAGAAACGTTCTTGTTGGCTACGTCTAAATATCTAAAATAAACAGTTTTTGCCTTTTTTCTATCTTACTTGTAAGATATAATAACATCTCAAAAAGTGAAACTTTTCGTTTTCACCCTGTATCTTAGAAACCAACGTAGCTAGACTGATTCTGTTTGTGGTATTAAAAGTTTCACATAAAAGTGGCAAAGGATAGCGAAAAGTCTATCATTAAAAACAGTTGTGATACACGGCAATCTCAACCAAAATAGGACACACGGTACATTTCGTACTCTAAACAAATATAGTTACGTTGAATAAATACGGATGTAATGGTTAAATAATAGGAAAGTACAGTCGAGTACATCAACTTTCGGAAATGCAAATTGTTCTTCGGAAAGCTTGATATATGGTTTGATATAGGAACCTTTGCAAAAGAAGTCTTCTTTAACTGTGTCATGTGTGTGTACTTAGGTTCAAAAGATGAAACAAAAAATGGCGCCAATCTTCAATGCCAAAACTTAATTTGTCGGAGAGAAAATTGGCACTTTTCTCAGGGTGAAATCAGAAATACAATTCACCATCTGGTTATCAAGCTGTTCAACAAAATATTGTTTAAATGGAACACCTTGTATATTTTCCCGTGCTTTGATAGAAAATGAAATTGCGCCTTCTTTAATTTAATTTAAAATAACGCGGGACTACTGAAAATTTGAGCGTCAATTAACGCATGCGGGCCGAGGAAAAAGGAAGACCGGAATTGAAAAGAAACAACACCATATTGTGATGTGCATGTGCAGCGTGCGCTATGCCACTATCATATGCATCAGCACTATCGCCGCTCCGGTACTGCCGTTAAGAGGTAAGGGGGTGCTCACTGCTCAATTTAGCGCCTTACTTTTTGTTCAAAACCGCACTGCACGGATGCCCCGCCAATATTTGATTATTAATTTTTCTGATCATCACTTTTTAATATTTTCTTTACTTTTTGTATTCAAAAGGAGAACATTTGAATAATTTTCGTACACGTTAGAGGTTCCACCCTGTATACAGACTGATTTAAATTCGCGGGCCACCATGGGGATCTCGGAAAATGTAAGAGATAGATAGGTCGTTTAAATTTGTCAAAATTCCGTAATTTGATGATTAACAAAATGCCGTTTTGAAACAGAAAAGATTCTGACCAGTTTCGGAGAAAAATGAAATTTTGCAATTTTAAAATAAATGACACATTATTATGACCACTTTGTTCCCTCTACAAGAAGTCATTTTTTTGTGTTATTTGTTATTTTTTTGTTATTTTTCTGATTTCAAAAATGTAAAAATCACGATTTTTTAATAAGAAATGGCCCTATTAATTCTATAATTTAAAACTAGCATCTTGTAGAGGGAACAAAGTGGTCATCATAATGTGTCATTTATTTTGAAATATCTCTTTAAATAACTTCGGTAAAAAATAAAAACGATTTTTTTTGCTAATAGGTGATCCTTTGTAATAAAAAACGCCAAAAAACTTCTCCTAGGACACTTTGATTCTCGCTTTGATCACTATAGACTGTCAGAAAAATATGTTGTATCTTAGCCTTCGACTTGGTATGTGATGACACTCAATATAAGACGGACGGAAGGGGCGGCCTGATAACACTGATATGACTCTCAAAGGGAAAATGGAAAATCTAGACGAGACCTATCGGTCGGGGAGTCAAGACTTCAAGTTTGGATATCGAGTGTCGGAAGAGCCTACTCTCAAATGGCCGTTTATTTACTAGAAATAAAATTTACGTGAAGGAACATTTTAAAGTCGGAGAAGCGTCATCAAAATATATCCGGGATTAAATAAACTGATATTAAAACTCATTGTGATAAACAAAGCTTTTCTTTCTTTCCGATCGCTAGCAGAAACGACTGGTTGCAGGCAACTTCGCCAAAGTTGAGTGACGTCCTTGTGCGATAAATAAAGTTTGTGAACAACGGCATACGGCAGGGAAATTAAAATCGATGCATTTGCTTGCATCAAAACCTAGTTGGGCAAAATTAATATCAACGCAGAGGAACATTGGTATTTTGTTCCTGTGCATAATCACGATCTTGACTATTGAGGCCAGTTTCAATAATTTCCAATTCGAAGGCGAAATTTTCAAGAAACAAATTTAATCAAGTGTCCCATTGATAAATTATATTGCGAGGTGCTTGAAGTTGGTTTAAAGCAGGCGGTAAAAGTAGACGGTTCAATCCCCGATCAGTTGCACAAGAGGCAGTAGTCCTTCAGGTGATCCAGGTTTCATTCTAATTGTGCAAGCTTTGAGAAATCCAGTACTGATTTGTACCATAGGGAAACCATTCCATTCCAGAAAACGCTATAATTAAGGTAACGTAGTCGTTTTGATTTGTATTTCACATTACTATCAGTTCTCTTTAAGAAGTCGCATTACATTTTATTGACAGTAATTAAAAATAATTCTTAAGGGAATCATTATTAAGCGTTAAGAAGGGGTAAGTCATTTCACTTTATTTCTGATTTTAAAAAGTGCCAAATTTCCGTAAGGTAATTGCATTAGAATTTGCGCATGTCGTATAAATTTTGGGAGGAAGTTTAGGGCAATTTTGGAATTGGCATCGCATGTACAAAAGATCTCGAGTAATTAGACGCTAAGGTTCGTTGAAGAAGCAGAGGGCGCAACTAAGTTCAATCGTTTCGTATGAAGGTTGAGAGTGAAGTCAAAACGCTCTTTCTTGGGGAAGAAAAGGAAAGTGTAATTAGTCTGTGAGTGGAAAAAATAGTCCGATAGCACGTAAAATCCTTATATATCTGGGTAGTATCCGGCATCCTCGCAAAGCAAATAGCGTATAGAGATCGTGGAAAATTCGGATTTTAATTGCCTTTTTTCCGCTTCGTCTCGGATGAAGTATTCGAATTCCATTATCTTTTAAGATTTTCTTTTAATTATAAACGGAGGGAGAGAGAGTAGATTAAAAACTTTGGGAGAATTTTCCCGAAAATAGGCGTACGTAAATCATCTGCGCTTTTAATCTTATTATACGTTTTCCAATTATCATAATTTAAAATTTTTGGTCTCGCGACTGCGGCGAGAGGTTTTATAGGTTTTGTTTCTAAGTTTCCAATTGAAAATCCCCGTTTCGATAATGCGCCGAAAGTTTTATATCCCCCATTTCCGTATTAGGGGATTTAGGTAGGCTATATAATAAAAAGTTTTTCCTATTTGAGAAATTCGAGATTCTCACATACTCGTGCCGTATATATTCTGCTATTGTATTCCTGTCCCACTTTCGCGTTTGCAAATTTGCGACGTGATCGAAACTTTTCGGCAAACGTATCTCGGTGGACGTTTATTGCGATAGTTCGACAATAGAGTTCGAAAACATGCCGATCCGTTCGTTAAAAGCTGAATCCATTTGCCAAAATTGGGTTAGTGGCGTAGAACGTAAATTCTTAACCGCTCATCAAAATCTGAAGTAATCTGAATTTAATACAAAAATCGCAGTAGTATTATTGGCCGCCATCTTGTTTCCAGTAGTCATCTTTGTTCCGATTCACCTTTTTGATTGATGGGGGGTATCTCTCGCATCCCGATGGACTCTATTTGAAGTGCATTACAAGGAAAACCTACTTTAATTTTTTATCGCTTTATCACACACTAACCGACGTTTTCAACATTATTTCCGTTTCCTTATCACGGCTGCACTATTTACGTCA